TATTTTTATTTATAATTACATAGATATATAATTTCATTCTAAGTGTATTTTGATATAAATATATATTTATATTAATATCAAAATACAGTTAGAATGGGGGTGTGGCTTGGCGCTATGGAGCTCTCAACCGGACTACAGAGCAAACCACCAACAAAAATAGAGAGCATCCAGAGCAAACATGTCCCAGAGACAGAAAGTGAAGTCATCAAAAGCGGACAAAGCATCCTTTTTCCTCTCCAAGGTGGCGATGCCTAAACCTCGAGAAGGCCTCAACCTTACACAAGATGGCGGCGAGACGCGCTCACGGGAAGACTATGAGGGCCATGATGGCAGAATTTTCAGACACCATGCAAGCAAGCATGAAAACGCAAATACAAATCAGAACAACAGAACTAAGGAAAGACATCCCGGACATTGGGAACCGCACCTCACATCTGGAAACCAAAGTGGATGAGTTTGCGGTCTAGCAGACAAAATGCAAGAAATTTTGTCTGCAGTCTAGCAGACAAAATGGAAGAAATTGATGACATTCTGGAAATGCACAGGATTAAATTGGCAGACATGGAGGACAGATACAGGAGGAATAACCTCCACTTCCAAGGAATACCTGAATAAATACCAAGTGCTGAACTGGACAATTACCTCCAGGACTTATTTCAAAGTTTACCCCAGAAATTCATCCAGACCAGCTGCTCGTAGACAGAACACACCACCTCAGGAGGCTTAAACACTTACCAACCTCCTCCGCACGAGACATCATAGCAAGGATTCACTTCTTCCATGCAAAAGAACGCATCATCCGGGCAAGCAGGAACGCAGAGCTGCCAGCGAACTACAGCAATATTAAGATCTTCGCTGACTTATCAACAGAGATACTGCAGTTTTGCAAGTCCTAAATACCGATCACCATGACCCTCCGCACTCAAGGCCTCAACTATAGGTGGGGACGGGGCTACCCAGCCAAGCTGCTAGTGTACCATGAGGACACCCTTTACTCCATTGCCACCCCAGCACAGGACCGACAAAAGCTCCGGGACTGGGGTATTCCACTGTCCGAACCAGCAAGCTCAACACCGGTCAAGATCCCCAGAATGTCTCAGGACTGGTCCACTCGGTGATACCGCCTCCAGCCCTCATGGAAGGGGTGTATGTAAGCTAATAATAATATACTTATACTATTCTCTATGGACACCTGTTATAACTGTTAGTACTTCATAAGATTGTTTATCAACATGGTAGACAACACCCAGCATTCGGGGCCAGAAATAAGCATGTAATGGGTTACGGAAATGCACAACCCCCTTTATTGCAATGTGTTAGTGTTAGTGCAACGGTTAGATGTTGACTCTGCCCATTTAGATAACTCAGTTACTGTTGGGAATCTCAGACCAACGACACACAAAGTAGTTTATTTTATACCGGTTTCGACACAACTAAGGCTTATAGCCAATGCCTATTACACATTAGGCGCAATTGCATATAGTTTATAACAGTTCCTAATGCTCGTGTACACTGTCATCAGAAAGAATTTTTTTCTATGCTAGAGCGTCTCAGGACCACGACTCCCACTAGCTGGGCTCAACATTTTGTCTGCACAGCCAGGCTCAAGCCCTATGAGCCAGACAGGGCTAACCAACCTTCTGTTTTCTTTTTCTCCTCTTGTGTTGCCTATTCTAAATCTAGCTACTATAGGCAAGTCCCCTCTTCCCTTCCCCCCCTCTAGGAGTTCCAATTTTCTCCGGAGATGGGTATACTTCCCAAGCCATTTAGACGTCAGCAAGACAGAGTGCTACAGGGCATAGGTTGCTATGAACCACCACCAAAGGCACGCAATCATCAGCGTATTACACAATTTATATCCTGTAATAAGAATAATGTCATATAATGTCAAGGGATTAAACTCCCCAGGTAAACATAGGCTCCTCCTGCAGGATCTAAAGAAACACTAAGTGGCTATTTTTTAAAATGCTTAGAGTACCAGCCATCTTTACTAAAATGTTTCCTACGCAATACCACGCTCTTTCTGACTCCAAAATGAAAGAAGTCTCCATCCTAACACATAAGGATGTAACATTTACACTGCAGAGAAGCTACATAGATCCAAAAGGGAGATATATCATTATTGTGGGCCTTTCCAACAACATACAATACACTCTGGTCTCAGCATATTTCCCAAATGAAAACCCCAATGCCTTCCTTAAAAGCATACTACAAAAAAATTGATAAATACAAACAGGGAGGCTTGATCCTAGGAGGCGATTTTAACTTTATACAGTCACCTTCTCTAGATACCGCAGCTACTCTGACGGGCAAGAGGAAAAAGGGCCTACAGACCCTCTGTAAAACGTTAGCCAGAACATTGTCCCTGTATAACCTCCACGATAGCTGGAGAGTGCTCGACCCCATGGACTGGGACTACTCGTTTTACTCTAGGGTTCACAATACCTACACCCGCATCGAAACATTCTATATTGACAACGCCACACCAGCACAGCTGTCCGCAAGTAAAATAGGGGATATAACATGGTCTGACTATAGCCCAGTGTTCCTGGACTTATTTGAGACATACAAATTTCAGGGAAAAGGAACTTGGAGGTTAAATGAGTCCCTCCTGCAGGATAACACGTTCATAGAGCAGATAAGAGAGTAAGATACGTACTTTTTTCATCAATGCCACTGGAGATACATCAGACCTCACGGTGTGGACGGCCCACAAATTGGTGAATTCGGAAAATTCTATAAAATTATATACAACCTGGGTCTGGGAGGGGGATCCACCGCCCCTAACGTTACCTCCATAAAAGATTATCTAGCGCAGGTACATCTCCCCAAGATAGATCAGGCCCAAGCAGAAACCTTGCTACAACCTATCACACTTAATGAAGTCCTCAGGGTTATTAAAACTCTTCACTCAGGTAAATCCCCAGGAGCAGACGGCCTATCCAATGCATATTACAAGAAATTTGCAGACATACTGGCTCCTCACCTGCTGAAGGTGTACCATAAAGCATCGGACGAGGGTCCTCTTCCCCCAGAAATTTTGCTGGCCACCATTGTAACACTACCCAAACCAACCAGACAAACCCACTGATCAATACAAGAATTTTCAACACATTTCCTTGTTAAATACTGATGCGAAAATATATGCAAAAATCCTAGCTAATAGACTAAACATTCGCATTCTTCCGTCATTAGTAGGGGATGCCCAGACTGGCTTCGTAACAGGGAGACAAGGCCTAGATAATACATGCAAACTTTCACTGGTATTGGAAAAACTTTGGTGGGTTGGCCAAGGTTGTCTGTTGCTAGCCATAGACGCCGAAAAAGCATTTGACCGCCTCGGCTGGGCTTTTCTCGAACAAACCCTAATAAAGTATGGTTTCCCCACAGAAGTTTTTGAGTAAAATACTCACACTATACTTAGGCCCCACAGCTCAGGTAATGCACTCTGGCTTGCTCTCCGAGCCATTCTCCATCACAAAAGGCATGCGGCAAGGTTGCCCCCTCTCATCTTTGATTTATGTCCTGGCCCTGGAGCCCCTTTTATGTAGGATTAGAAATCACCCAGATATTCATGGGATAAACCGTAACGGAAGGGAAATAAAAATAAGCACATTCGCAGATGACATTCTCTTTTATGTCTCCCAACCGGAGACTTTGCTGACGCACATACTTGTCTAAATAAAGAACTATGGAGACGTGCCCTACTATACATTAAATACCAGCAAAACCCAAGCCTAAGGTCTAAGACTCACCCCCCAGGTGTTAATGTCTCTCAAAAGAGACTATCCATTTGAGTAGAGGTCAGACAGCCTCAAATACCTAGGACTGACCTTTACCTATAAGGAGTTTGCTCATGCCGAATTGTAAACCGCTCTCCTGGTGCTACCAGCTCCTCCTGTGTTCGGTACATTTTGCTGACTCTAAGCCGGCTGAACAATGGACACACAACTTGCACTGTAGTATGTCCCGAGAGCTGTGGGAAACCCTCACAAATATACCTAAGAAACTTGTTAAATCTGCAACACTATTGGAGCAACACAAGAAGACACTGTACAGGTGGTACATGGTACCAACACGTATTCATATATTGTACCCCCTCTCTTCCCCTCTGTGTTAGAGATGTGTATCGGAGGAAGGTACGGTACTCCACATATGGTGGACTTGCAGACACAACCAAATTCTGGGACTCAGTCAGCCAACTAATACAAGAAACCACATACGCACACATATCTTTTGACCCACTTACGTACCTCCTGCTGAACATACCTACAAAAACCCCTAAGGATATACAGAAATTGACTCTCAACAGCCTGTTAACAGCACGACGGGCAATAACACGTTCATGGAAGTCCCCAAAACCACCATTGGTGGAAGTGTAATATAAAGAGCTAGACACCCAACACATATATGAGAGCTGCTACCACAATGTCTTACCGATTACAACACCAGCAATTGAGGCCTGGGGACTATGGAGCACCTGGAGATCGAGTCAGCCTCAAGCATAATTGTTATAATTGTTATCATGAAATGTTCAAGGTTTTTATTGCTAAAGAGTCCAACACTAGCGGATGCAAGGGACAGCACAGGGGGTAAATAAACTGTCAATATACAACAGAGTACTGCCTAGTGAATAATATGTGTAACTGTAAGCCTTACCGATATACTGTATGTACAGAAATCAACACAGTTGTTACGTTGTTAAATTTGGATGTACAGACAATGGAAATGTGGAATTTGTGACTTTCCTCTCTTCCCCCCCTCCCCTTTTCTTCTTTCTGTATCCCCCCTTCTTCATTTTCTGTTTGAAAAATAAATAAAAATGTAAAAAAAAAAAAAAATACAGCTAGAATACAGCTTCATGCTGGAGCTTGTGGGTAGCACGTGGTGTAGAGAGTGGAGGTGTTGGTGCGGCTTTTGCATTGAGTTTTGGAGCCATTCTGGAAATTGTTTGCAGTTGTTTTGGGACTTTTTGGTGCATTTCTCAAGCTGTGAAAAGGTAGGGAGCTTACCTTTGTCATTTGCATACCTTTTATTGTGTGTTCTTCATTCTGGGTTGGTTTCCATGCCAGCTCATTTTGACTTTTTTCTGACCACCAGAACGTATTAATTGGTTTTCAATGCATTCCTATGGGAAACCGAGTTTCGGTTTACAAATTTTTCGCAATAAGAAACATCCCGGAGAACACATTAAATTTGTAAACCGAGGTCCCCCTGCATGTGTATATATATATATATATATCTACACAAAATATATAGTTATTATATGTATTATATACACATGTGTAATTTTACTCTGTGTATTTTATATTAATATATGTATATATTAATAAAAAAATATACTTAGTATAACGTTATATATAATAATATTAACAAAGTATTTAACCAGAAAAGGTACATTCATATTACTCTGGTTTTCAAGTACGTCCTGGGGATGTTACCTGAGCCCAGCATCCATGGGTTGTTA